ACTGCCAAATATTTCCTGCTCAATCTACCAGCTTGGCTGTTTGGCTCATCAACACCCCTTCTTCTCTTCTTCTTAGGCCTCCCAACCTACACATGTTGATATACTATAGTTAAAATTGAATTCATTCCATGTTCACATGTATACTATATATTTTGTGTACTTTAAATACAAACCTGTGTCTTATGTTTTGGTGGAAGTAAAGTGAATGGGCAGTCACTTTTAGGCCACATTGTACGTCCATTCAATGGATCAATTTTGTTGAAATACATGGCTTTCCATGTTGATAACCTATAGCAAGGATGGACCCATTCATCAACATGTGGGGCATTTTCACCATTTTCAATTTTGTCCCATATAGCACAAACAGCATGTCTACATGGGAAACCTGTAATCTCCCAAAACCTACAACTGCAACTGTGATCATTCAAATTTACCACATATTGGTCTTGCCATGTGCTTGCCACTTGGTACTTCCCTGCCCCATTGTATTTAGCCACATACTTTGATGCATCAGCCTTAATCTTTTCAAACAGTGTAGTTGCAGTAGGGGTTAGAAGTCCTTCACACTTATCTATTTCCTTTTGCACCACACATAACCTCTTCATGAGATACTCTCTAATATACTCTAAGCAAGTGATAATAGGTTTATCCCTACCTTCATCTAGCTTTGAATTGAATACCTCACAAAGGTTATTCAACAAACAATCAGTATGTGCCCTTCCTGAATAATATATATTAACAGAAGACAATTACACATATAGTAAACACACAAAAGGGAAGATTAACAATTCTCAATAAATTTCTAGAAACTTACCACTAAAGTGAGATTTAGCCCAAGTGTTTGCTGGGATCTTAGACACCCAAGCATGAGCCTCTGCATTGATCTTCTTCAACTCATCCATTGCTCTGTTAAAATGATTGACTGTTGTTGCTCTACCACACTCCCAAAGCTGGTCACTTAAGTCTTTTCCTTTCCATTGCTTCTTCATGTTTTCCTGGATATGCCTCAAACAGAACCTGTGTTCTGCACTAGGGAATACTTTCTCCATTGCTGGTATTATTCCCTAAACAAAAGTCAATGTAATCAACATTAGTTAACCAAATGTATTTAGTAAAGGTAATAAAAAAGTTAGGTGGTACACACCTTTTGTCTATCTGAAATGAAGGTAAAGTTTGAATTTGGTCCCAGATCCAGATCTTCTCCTAACAGTTCCAAGAACCAGGTCCAGCTACTTGTTGATTCTGTCTCTACCACTGCATATGCTACAGGGTATATGCCATTGTTTGAGTCCAACCCTACAGCAGTTAACACTTGCCCAGGGTAAGGGCCCTTCATGAAAGTACCATCCAGACCTAGAAAATCTCTTAATCCAGATTTGAATCCTAACTTCAATGCACCTAAACAGACATATATTCTTCTAAAAGTTCTTGTGGTAACAGACAGGGAGGTTTCTGGATACACATCAATCCTAACTGTTGTACCAGGATTAGTGTTGAGTAGCTCCAACACATAATCCCTCAAAAATCCATACTGTACTTGGTAGTCCCCACTAATGATACGCTCAGCCATTGACTTTGCCCTAGCGACCTTTTGCAATGACATTCCTACCTCCAGTTTCTTGCACAACTCTTCGTGTAAAGCTTTCACTGGAATTTTAGGGTTACTCTGTATTTGTTGAACAATTAAGTTTGCTACGTATCTGGAAGTGCAAGCTTTAACCGCCCTTGTTTGCAAACATTTATGCTCATCCTGTACGTTTTCACCAACCAATCCTGATTTTCATTAGCCCTCGATATTTGGACTGCCCATGGACATGTACCTTTATTGGCAATTACATCTTTACCCTTGCACTTTGCCCTACTTCTGGTTGAGGGCCCACCACTATCAACTCCTGTAGAAGGCTTACTTACAACACCTTTACATTTCACCCTAATCCGGATTTTGTCATTTTTGGCTAGGTATAAAGACCTCCTTGTTGCTACAGCATGTGAGTTCATGTAGTTTTTAACATCAACCTTGGTTTTGAAGACCTGACCAATCTGAAATGGTTTAACATGAACCTCTCCATGTGAGCATGTACTTGACTTACTCAACTCTTTTAGCAGTCTCTTCCTATCATCTTCATGAAATCCTGCAAATTGATAATCATCAGTGGCAATAACTTCCAACTCATTATCAAAGTCAACCACTCCAATCCCATCATCTTTTGAATGATTGTTCAAGATTCCATGTTCATCTACATCAACAGCATTATGGAATTCACTCATGTCTACATCTACATCAAATTGTATGTTAGACTCATCCACATTGTATTCACTGTCATCAGAATCATCTCCACTATCCTCAGAACCATGGCCACTCTCAGAGTAGAAAGCATCTCCACTATCATCACTCACCATACCCTCTAGATAATCCACTTCTGGTTGTTTTTCAAATGAAGTTTGAACATTAAACTCAGCATCATAATCAGCATAAAGTGAGTAATCCTCTACAAATGGTTCATAGTCATCAACTGTTGTAGTATTAGCTCCATTATCAGCTTGGCAGCTTGGTTCCTGTACATGGTAAGTTCCCAATTGTTCTTCAGTTTCAACTGCACTAGTGATCACTTCTTCTTGAGTTTCAATTTCATGATTCACCACTTCCTTTTGAATGACATGACTTTCTTTACCTTGTGACCTTATAAATGGTACAATACTCTTTGAGTAATCATGGCCTTCATCAACATCTAACACTTGTGACTGCTCATAATCAGGGTTCATAGACTTGTTTAGATCAAGCTTTCTACTACATGAGCCTGCTTCTCTCCTACAAGGTTTCTTTCTATTCATTTCAGGTGACACACTATCAGGCTCCAACTCTTCAATAACAACTTTAGAAGGAGACTTGTAATAACTACCTACCCTTGTCTGACCAGTTTCAATATACACCCTAATAAGTCTGTGTTTAGGGACATATGATACCATTTTAAGTACATCTTGATCATTACCTAAAGGCATTAAGCCATAGTCCAAAGGGTATTCAGGGATACAGAAATGGTAGTAAAGGGTTTGCTCAGTTTTGTACCCTAGTTCTCGAACCATGTCGTCAAGATCATGAACTGAAAATAAATCAGTGTCAACATAATCTACATATGCTACAACACCATCAACGTATTTCCTTCCAGGTGCTTTGGTGAAGACACCACTGTAGTGTATCTTCAACGTGAAATAGTTCTCATAACCTTCTGTAAACACAAAAAAAAGAAAGAGTAAAATCAATGATTTCCTTACGTCAACACAATAGACCAAGAAAAAACAAGTTTTGTTGTAGTATTGTACCGTATGTTTTTCCTAAGTCCTCCACGGTTACAAATTTTTCTCGAAAACACCATATTGATAGCACCAATGCAATTTCTGCAGCTTAAAACCCTAAATCCCAATTTCTGTTCTTGCTTCTTCGATGGGAATGAACCCGATGACTAAACCTGTAACTGGTTATCTTCTTGGGAGAGGGACGGGTAGTGATGTGCAAGCAAGTAATCATTTCATATTAAAGAGAGGAGGTTACAACTGAAATGACGAAATTACCCCTGCAATATTTTATTAAAAAATGAGTTAACGGTGAAATGCTAACGGAGTGAGCCGGAGGGACCATTTGTTAAAAGTTTTGAAACCACAGGGACCATCTGTGAGGTTTTTTGAACTTAGGGACTAAACTTGATATTTCTGGAAACCACAGGGACCATTTTTGAAGTTTTGTCTAGATTAAATGATTTACTAGATCCTATCAAGGTATATTAGATCAATTGGATCATTCGGTTTAAAAGAGTTAAACACAATATAATTTAAAAGGAATCTTAAATAATGAACCCTTAATAATGGGATATACACCGACATACATATGTTTCATAATTATGATTTTTTTAGCAACATCCATTCATGATCTTGTGACAAATCGAAAGCCACAATCATATTGTGTATTAAATCATTATATTCCATTTTTTTTCTAGAATAACGAGTGTGGTATCAAATTTTATTTATGAATTATCTCATACCTTTATAGTTAATACTATGCAAAAATACCAAATGCTGAACAAGTCAATCAAAATAAATGAAAACATTGACATATAAATTATTAAATCTTTATTATAAACTAAATACTTATATAAAAAAACATAACAGTCAATTGAATTTCTTTCAAAAAAATTATTTTTACGATGGAAAGTAGAAAAAGTTTTTGACTTGAAAGCAAATTGTCAAGCTATTAGATTATTGTGTACTACTGAATATATTTTTTCATAATGAATCTTCATTAGGTATGCCAAATAAATACATAGAGAAATGTAAACAATAAAATTACAAAGGCCTTGGGCCAAATACCGATGGGCTAAATCCTAACATTATTACTTTTATTTATTTATTTATTTTTGCTTGCAAATACAAGGAAATTATGCTACAGTAGTATTTGTGAAAGTGTATAAATATTTTGATTAATTTTTATTTTAAAAGATTTAGTTTGAAGTCGACACTAAAAAATCATTAAAATATGAATTTAAAATTTGCCACAATCAAAACCCTAGATTTCATTCCAAAATTGAGCCATTTCTAATTAGTTAAATCGAAAGGTAAAGTTTAATCGGGGGAATATTCATGGCAGAACACTGAAACAACACGACCGCCACGGATTCATCGTCCTCTGCTCAAAGAATTTTGATTTTAGAAGGTGGGATTCGGCATCTCCGCCCCCATCGGGGTTGCAGTCGCTGTCTCTATATTCCCCCTCCTCACCATTTTATCTCTTTCTGTCAAAAACCAATTTTATCATTTCGTTTGTTATTTATTGATCTATCGCCGCTTGTCCATGCGCTCACAACCCTATATAAATCGCCTGGGAGCATTGTTTCTATCGTTTTCTTGATGTTTTCTATAACAAACACCATCAACGATTACCTAATAAGTTTTTGTTTTCTCGGTTCATTTACCCGTTTTTGAAAACCCTGGTATTTGGGGATTCTTTTGTGAGAATAAGAAAGAGATAATGGCTCAAAATGGTCAGGGGATAGAGCCTGCTTTACTTGATGATATAATCAATCGGCTATTGGAGTTCCGGCAGGCGAGAACGGTTCGCCAGGTTCAGCTGTCGGAATCGGAGATCCGTCAACTTTGCACCGCTTCTCGAGAAATATTTCTTCAACAGCCTAATCTTTTAGAGCTCGAGGCTCCGATTAAGCTATGCGGTAAACAAAATTAAATAAATCCTTCTTTGTTTACATATCTATACATTTTTTATGTCTGTAATCTGTTTGTTGTTTTGACTTTTCATTGGAAATCTCTTGTTTCCGTCTTCATTGTTCATGCGTAATATGGGATGAATATGTGTTTTTTTTAGAAGTGTATCCACTCAAATATAATGTCAAATATGATGATCTTGAGCAATAACATTTACATTTTTATGTTCATGGATCGATTCCACTTTCTAGGTGACATTCATGGGCAATATGGTGATCTTTTGAGGTTATTTGAATACGGAGGATTCCCACCAGAGTCAAATTACTTATTCCTAGGGGACTATGTGGATCGTGGCAAACAAAGTCTAGAAACAATCTGCCTTCTACTCGCGTACAAAATCAAATACCCTGAAAACTTCTTCCTTTTAAGAGGCAACCACGAATGTGCTTCTATCAACAGAATATACGGATTCTATGATGAATGCAAACGCCGTTTCAATGTCAGACTTTGGAAAACTTTTACCGATTGTTTCAACTGCCTCCCAGCAGCCGCCTTGATTGATGACAAGATCCTATGTATGCATGGCGGGCTGTCTCCGGATCTAACAAATCTGGATCAAATAAGGAATCTGACCCGCCCGACTGACGTCCCGGATTCGGGTTTGCTTTGTGATTTGCTTTGGTCGGATCCTAGTAGGGATGTGAAAGGATGGGGGATGAGCGATAGAGGAGTTTCTTATACTTTTGGATCTGATAAAGTGGCTGAGTTTTTGATGCAACATGATATGGATCTTGTTTGTCGTGCACATCAGGTGATTTGAATGTTTGTTGATTTGTTTTTGAGTTTTGATTGTTTTTGTAATGTAAAAATAATAATAATTATTGGATTGGTTTTTGGGTAGGTTGTGGAAGATGGGTATGAGTTTTTTGCGGATAGGCAGCTTGTGACGATTTTTTCTGCTCCAAATTATTGTGGTGAATTTGATAATGCGGGTGCGATGATGAGTGTTGATGAAAGTTTGATGTGTTCTTTTCAAATCTTGAAGCCGGCTGATAGGAAACCAAGATTCTTATGACAGAATCGTGTCACAGAAAAGCTTCTAAGGTTAGCATCAACAATTCTAATTACACATCCAAATTTAGTCCTTTGCCTTAAATAGACCTGTTTATTTTGTGAAGATGTTTTTTTTTTTTTTTTTTCCTCCCATTTAGGCAGTGTATCAAACTATTATATTATAATGACAAAACTGCAAATTCGATCCCTGTGGTTTGATGTTTTTTGTGGTAAAATTGTCATTTCATAATATTTAATAGACAGTTTAAATGGGTGTTAGAACCAGGACCAAAGCCATAATGAAACCTACAGAAAAGGACAAAATTTGCAATTTTGTAACCACAGGGACCAAATTTGTAGTTCTCTATTATAAATTTATAAAAGTAAAAAATGTGGTGGAACAGTTGCTGTTTAGTATTCTTTTTGCGTTTTCCAACCTCATTCCGCATTCTTTTTGTTGCGGGTTGCTGTAAAATCTGGTTATTTTGTTTCTAATCGTTTTTGCATGTGATTTTTTTTTTTCACATTTTTGCACATGCAGAATCCCCCAAATGCTGTGGCTGCTGTTTTAGTTTTTTTTATTTTTCTGTACTTTTTTTTTTATTGAAGTGTTGCTGTTTTAAATGGGAGTTCCAAGCTGGTGCTATGGAGATATATTCAGATGATCAAGTGCCAATTTTTCAATTTGTCATGATTATCGAATCACTTTTGTTTGTGTGTGTGTTGCCCAATTTTACGACACTGTAAATACATTTGGCGTTGTAAATTTTGTCAACGCGGTAGTTAATTGTTGTTGACTCATGAAATTTGTCAATAGACCATTCTAATTGACCCCTTTGGATTTTGCTTGTGGACTTGCCATTATTAATTTATTATCCTAATCGCATGACTCATAAATCTTGTGTCTTTTTTAATTTGCCTTTTGCATCATATAATTGTGGCGTAACATATTTAAAGTTTATCAAATGTAATTTATTCATGGAGATTTTTTGAAAGTTGTATTGTGACCCTTTAATGTGCTGTGTCACGAAATCAAATATGAGAATCCAATTGGATGCAACTTTTCGATTTTTGTCACAAAACAAGTGATCTACTAGATTCATGTAATAGGCTAGATTGTTGGAGACAGAAATCATTGAAAATGTCTTGATGGATAAATACCATAAATTGAAGCTTTGAGATGATCGTAAATAGTTTTAAACATTGGCAGTTGGTCTTAGGATCTCGTATCTATGGCCCCTTGACCACATCCTAGACAATCCTAAGAAAACGTTGGTGGCTAGTAAGAGAAAAAAGCTTGATTTTGTATAATAATTATATTTCCTTTCTAGTAATAAAAATGTGCAAATTTGCCACCGTGTCATGTATCATTTTATAAAAAGATCGCCAATTACATGTCATTTAAGTATAATTGCTGGATAGATTTTGATTTGGTTAAAATTTATGTGATCGTATAAAAAATCTATGGTTAAAAGTTATTAGATTGGTGAAGATCTGCTGGTTTTGGTAAAGAATTATTAGCACGGTAGGAAACACCTAGAGATTAGAGAAGATTGGAAAAAGAATAGATGATTATAGTACATCAAAATAAAGTCCATAAATATAAGATCCAATGGATATAGTCATGGAGAGTGGAGACTATATATTAGGCATGAAAAATGCAAATGTTATATCTTTGAAAAAATCTATTGGGTTAAATGGGGGCAAAATTTCAACCCCAAAGAAATTTTTGGGCAAGTTATGGATGCTCTCGAAGAGCATGATAATTTAAAAATAAATAAATAAATAAATAGAGGTAATAACTTGGTCCAACGATGAAGGTGAGCTATTGGGATCCATTATAAGAAACAAAAGTTATATAAAAAGAAAATCAAATAATTTCCCATGATAAACTAAACAAATTAGTTCAAAACCATTTTTTTAAATAGATTTCTCTCTAGATTATGATGATAACATGTCCTTATGAGGATATTTTGATAACTAAGATATCAATTCAAAAGAACGAAGAAAACTTCAAATATCAACACCGAAGAAGATGCAACCAACAAGAGAAACAATTACTAAAACTTCAAAACAAGCCAAATCAAATGAATCTATGTATCATACTTTAAAATAAAAACAACGTATTTTCTGCAAATAGAAGACAAAAACTAAACATTCCGAATTTCCGATGATGAATACAAGTTGACATAAGGATTTGAAGTTCGACTCTTATCTATAAATAGAATCTTACTCAGATGAAGAGGGCAACCGAAAAATTACATTTTTTTAAGAGAACATTTAAAAGAAAATTTGAAGATTATATTTGTAAAATTTCTAATTTTCTAAATATATTAACTCTCAATTTCGTAGTGATTAAAATTTAAAATAAGTTCGGATGGTTATGTTTGAGATATTTTATCACTTTTTTTTTATTGTATTTAAATAAATACAGAATGTAAGTTGGTTTAAATACTATCTAAAACTAAAAGACATGTGCTATTTGAGCGCCACGGTTGTTCCCCATTTATCTTCTTCTTGGTTTTGTTAGGAGAAGCGACTTCTATCAACGACGAATTTCACCACCGTTGATTGGAACTTCTACAATTCATCTCCGACGAATTCACTCTCATGTGGTTGTTTTGCCAGTCTCCTCAAACCATCCAGCAATCACACTTTCCACTCCGCACGCGCCACCACCCATCTCGACTTCACTCACACACGCGCCACCAGACATCCGTCACTCTCCCCCCTTCCACCAGCAACACCAACCACCTAATCCAGACTCTCTGTCAGAAAGGACTCGTCAAACAAGCCATCCAAGCTCTCACTCAAGAGCCTAATCCAACTCAACGCACTTACGAACTCTTAATTCTTTCCTGCGCCATTGCAAATTCTCTCCACGATGCCATTACGATTCACCGTCGGCTTGTCGAAGATGGGTTTGACCAAGACCCGTTCTTGGCAACTAAGCTTATCAACACATATTCGGAGCTGGGTTCAATGGAACACGCACGCCAAGTGTTTGATGAAATTCCCATCAGAACTATATACGTCTGGAACGCCTTTTTTCAGGCTCTAACACTTTCTGGTCATGGGATAAACGTGTTTGATCTCTTATGCTCGATGAGCACAGACGGGATTAAACCAGATAGATTCACCTACACTTACGTCCTGAAAGCCTGTGTTGCATCCGACACTTCAGTTTCATTGTTACCCTATGGAAAAGAGATACACGCCCACATCTTGAGACATGGGTTCGAGACCAATGTTCATGTTACAACTACATTAGTCGACATGTATGCTAGATTCGGGTGCATATCAGAAGCCAGTCAAGTTTTCAATGAAATCCCTTCTAAAAACGTTGTTTCTTGGAGTGCTATGATTGCTTGTTATGCCAAAAACGGGAGACCCTTAGATGCACTCCAACTATTCAGTGAAATGATGCTTGAAGTTCACGATTCAACACCAAATTCAGTGACAATGGTTAGTGTTCTTCAAGCATGTGCAGCACTTGGAGCCTTAGAGCAAGGTAAGCTATTGCACGCTTATATCCTACGAAATCGTTTAGATTCGGTGTTACCAGTTATCGCATCCCTCATTGCCATGTACACAAGATGTGGTGATCTTGAAATGGGAAAACGGGTTTTCGACCAAATGGTTAGGAGAGATGTTGTGTCATGGAATGCAATGATTTCAGGGTATGGAATGCATGGTTTTGGTGAAAAAGCAATTGAAGTTTACAATGAAATGTTGCGTAACAAGATCGATCCTAGTCCTATCACGTTTGTGAGTGTTTTAGGAGCTTGTAGTCACGCAGGGCTCGTGGAAGATGGAAAGAGTTTATTTGAATCTATTAGAAAACCTATCATTGAGCACTACGCGTGTATGGTGGATCTTCTTGGTCGAGCCAATAGATTAGAAGAAGCAGCCAAGATTATACAAGAAATGAGAAGCGAACCCGGGCCTAAAGTCTGGGGTTCGCTTCTCGGATCGTGTAGGATTCATGGCAACATTGAGCTTGCTGAGAGGGCAAGCAAGCGGCTTTTTGAGCTTGAACCTACAAACGCAGGAAATTATGTGCTTTTGGCTGAGATTTATGCGGAATTAGGGTTATGGGATGAAGTGCAAAGAGTGAAGAAGCTTTTGCAAAGTAGAGGACTTGAAAAGAAATCCGGGTGTAGTTGGATTGAAGTGAAACGGAAAGTTTACTCGTTTGTTTCGGTTGATGAGTTCAATCCACATATTGAACAACTCCATGCTTTTCTCCTGAAATTATCAACGGAGATGAAGGAGAAAGGGTATAAGCCCAAGACTAAAGTTGTGCTGTATGATGTTGAAGAGGAAGAAAAGGAGAGGATTTTATTGGGTCATAGTGAGAAACTAGCGGTTGCATTTGGGCTGATTAATAGCTGTAGAGGAGAAACGATTAGGATCACCAAGAACTTACGGTTATGCGAAGACTGCCACTCGGTTACAAAGTTTGTGTCTAAGTTTGCTAATAGAGAGATTTTGGTTCGCGATGTGAATCGCATACACCATTTTAAAGATGGGGTTTGTTCATGTGGAGATTATTGGTAATGTTTGTAAGCAAACTTGATACTTGACTATGTAAAAAAGTTTTTATAAATGAAAATATGATGGTTTTTTGAATGTCGGTTTACAAGAACAAGTTTGTGTCGATTGTTGATTGTTGATTGTTGAACTTGAACCTCCTTCAGTTTACTGCACAATCAAAGAGCCCTCTTGCTTCATTTTCAGTAAATTAGTCTCGATGTTGCGTAACACAGGTTTGTAGCTGCAATTATCAATCAAGTATTAACATCAGTCTGAGTCTAATTCATGTCAAATACAATATAACCTGTTCAACAAATGGGGCAAGAGTAAAAAAAAAAAAAAAAAAAAACATACAGGCGAGCAAGACCGTTGTAGGCTTGAATGGCTTGTTGGAGCTGAGCTGAGAGTTGCAAAACCTCAGCAGACAGTGTCTCCGCCTTGCTCTGTTCTTTAGCAAGTTGACCCTGCATCCATAATTCCATTTGGAACTATAAATTAATTAAAAAAAAAAAAAAAAAAAAAAACTGATTTAAAGATGTATAATTATAATACAGTCTTTAGAAGATTATATGTGTAACCTTTAGGGATACAAGTTCAGTAGTATAAGCTTCCCCTTCTTTGTTGGATTCTGATATACCAGTGGGAATGTGATTCTGACGCTCATTATTCATAATGGATTCTGTTCTTAATTTATCTAACATGCTACGGAGTTCCTCGTTCTGTTTGAGACAATCTTTTACCTGCATACATCACATGTAAGTTAAAGGAAATGTAAAAAATTTAAAGGAAAACATAAAAGCGTTTTATTATGAGCATTTGACCTGATTTTCCCAATGTGACATAATGTCTGTTGCCTCTTGATAAGCTGATGACAAGTTAGAATTCTCCTCAAAGAGTCTTTCTATCTCGGAAGATTGGGAATCAATCTGTATACAAAATGATACATTAATAATAGTGTAAATGAATTTTAACCCAAAAGTTTGAACCTCACCTCCATCAGTAACTTCTGTCTGCTACTTTCCAGCCTCTCAACAGCTACAGCCATATCATGCAGCCGTGTCTCAAATCTCTCTTTTTCTTCCTACAATCATCACACACTCTATAACAACTAAAAGAAGATAATAGTAACTCACGTGAAATTTAAATTCAGTTTTCAACAAAATCTTCAAAATTCAAGAGTAAATTCTAATAGTAATTTTATCAGCTTCTGCTTTTCACTTACCATTGTGAACTGTGCTTCTCTGTCACTAACTCCTGCAAAACAAACAAAAAAATGAAATATAAACATTATAAGTTTCAGGCTTAGTTTTGTATAAACAATATATAATTAATTATTTGTATTTAAAATGTTACCTGAGGCGTCTCTGGGACATGGCTGCTAGCTTTTCTTCCAATTCTTTTTTCTCAGAAATGATGGCAGATATCCTTCTTTGCTCCTCCACTAGTTGGTTGTTGTTCTTGCCTCCTCATCATTCCCTCTTGACGCCTCAGCATTGACTCTTGCTATTTATTCACATGAATATTAATTATTTATTATCGCATTTCAAAGAAAAAACAACAATGAGACAGATAAAAACTCTCAATCTAACCTCCAGTTGGGTCTTCAAATCAGCAAGCTCCTTCTCCATAGCTTGCAAGTCATCTGGTGGGCCTCCTATGGAAGTAATGGCACCACTGATTGCTTGTTGTTGTAATAAATTCAGTTCTGATCTTAAGGCAGCTGCATCTTCCTCAGCCTATTTCAACAGGATTATAAACAATCACATGCTTTGGATTTCAAAAGAGTTAAATCCAAGAAATAGCAACTTACTTTCCTTGATTTGTTTATCACAGTATCCTACTTTCATTACTTTCTATTGTACTTTGAAAGTACAATGCTATAATTAGGCAGATTTTCGAAATACAATTCCTTAATGAGAAAGAAATTAAAAAGTATAATGTTGTAAAAGAAAGAAAGAAAGTAGGATGCTATAATACACAAAATTAACAAAAGTATGTTGGTATTTCTTGCATTTAGCTGTATGTAATATGAAATAACAGTTGAATGATTACTCGATATTGCTCTTCTTCTGCTTCCTTTAGAAGCTTCTTAAGTGCTCGTACCTGAGCTGAGAAGTCCTCCTACTCTAAAACATATTTGTTAGTTGTGGAATCTTAATTGAAACAAACAGAAAATGATATGATGTTCATGTTCATACCCTTGCAACAACTGCTGCATCCTTTTCCATTGCAACATCCTTAAGAGCTCTTCTCAATGAGGGTACAGTATTTTGTTCCTACAATGAATAACATGTTTATAAATCTATATATTCAATATCATATCCAAATTATTACACAACACCAGGTATAGATGGAAGATTGTATATCCATGAAAGGATTGCAATTTTCAAACATCTGCAAGGCCATAGAGGTGATTATCTTGTATTCTTAAACACTAGTTCCGCAAAAACCCAAAAAGCATTCATGGGAAGAATCATAAAATCAAACAATCAAGAACATTTTTGATTGTGATAAAAAGCACATCAAAACTTTAGAGAATTAACTTCATGATCCAACAAGAGAGCATATATTTTCTCAAAGGAAGTAGGAACATACCATGTCATTCACACGCTTCCGAAGCATGTCATTCTCCACTTCAGTAGAATGAAGCTGAATCACAAAAGTCAAAAGTTGAGTTACCATCATTGATCACAAAGTAAAGAGCAGGATTCAAAACAAGGATGTATGAAGCAAAAAGTTATAAACCTCTGAGCTTAGTTTTTTGTTCTCTTCATCTAGTTCTAAGTTCTTTTTCTGCAACTCTTGCAACTGTGATACCAAGCCACTTATATCACTCTGCAACAAAATTTTCTAGTAAGAATAACAATTTGAATTTTCTTAAGATCTGCATCATCTTTATCTGAATTATGAATATTATTGAACTAACAAATCATAAATCTTTCCCCAATAGCATATACCCAAAATTTAAAACGTTGTTTACTATTGCTAACGAAACTAGATCACATGAGAAGAATGAATTAAGAAGCAACCTCAGAGATTCCACTTCCGCTTGATGATTTCTTGATTCCAAAGACCTCTGACACCAGAACACAACGCAGATCCAATAAACACGATGTACGATGTGCAAATTGATCTGTAAGTAAGATATAGGATACAAAACCATATATTTAACAGAAATGTTACCGCTAGGGTTAGGAGGTATTGTGAGATCAGGTCCAGATGAGGTTTTGCTTAATTTCTGAGCTGCCCTCTTTTGACGAATTTCTTCCAACTGCAGTTTCCATAATTAATCAATTAAACACATGTTGTACGTTGAGTGATAACAGAAACTGAGATAGATCGCTTGAATACCGTCCGTCGGCCGAGAGATGCATGATGCGACGCCATTGCGGAGAAACAAAGCTGGTTGAAGTTTTATGTTTTGACTTGCCGTCGACAGCTACGGCGGTGAAAGGAGACTGAAGTATCGTACAGATAGAAATCTGGTAGAAACTAAACAAGTCGTCTGGGTGGTGTAGTCGGTTATCACGCTAGTCTCACACACTAGAGGTCCCCGGTTCGAACCCGGGCTCAGACATATTTTTTGTTTCAATTTTCTCACGTCAAAGGGTAGGCGGAGTGGATTCAAGTTTTGCTAAATTTCAACTTTTAAAAAAAACTGTAAAATACAAATTTAATATTCCTTATGTTTTCCACAACAATCTTACAATTCTTTTTCAGATATTCGAATTTCATAAAATCCTCTACAAATAGTGCCAAATGGATTCAAGCCGGGATAAGGTCTACAAATAATGCCGAATGGATTCAAGCCGGGATAAAGCTAAAAAAACGGGTTCACAAGGTTGACCACGTGTTTTATCCATATCATACACAATCCGTCACCACAATTTCAATATCAAACTCAATACCTAGCCAATCAATTCCTCAACAACATTTTATAATTAATTTTTGCAAAGTCCATCACCACACTTTTTAAGCACTAGTATACTAAATAAAAATTTCATTTTCAACAAATTTAAATGGTGGTTCATCTACAACAAAAAGTGTAATAAATTTTTTTTAATTATATTTGATCATTCTTTCATGTGTTTACACTTCCCCTCTCTATTAGCTTCTTTCGTAAATTGTAATGTAGTTAGTTTTTTCATAGTTATTTTGTTTTCCAGTTTTTTTATCACAAATAAAATGTTTTTTAAGCTTGTAAGTTCCGTTTTTCTACAAGATTATATTTATAAACCACAGAAAAAAAGTTCGCATTTTTTTTCCCCACTTAACTCCATCATTGTCATCTATGTATGCTACGCAAAGTACTTCCAACAATCAACATTTTATTTTGTTCGTTTGTACTTTATTCATCATGTTGAGTATTTCCAAGAAATATATCATCATCCTTAACCATAGCTCCATTAAAATTTAATGTTACAATTGATTACAAACATGAGCATGAATTATGTAGAGCAACCCAATACATAGAAATAACACCATCATCTTTTATGTATAGTATCCTAAAAATTACATACAAACAACACCAAAAATGCATACATAGCCCGAAAATATGACATAAGAAGATTGAAATGGATTCACAATGGAAAGTAGTCACGTAGCCCAAAAATTATTATTATGCGTCAAATATTTGTACAATTGGTATAACATGTACCTAAAAAAAAAGCAACACCCAGCTAGAGCCTAAAAGCCCTTCGGTACTTATTTTTAGATTGGAACTCGATTTGATTCGATTCTAAAATAACCATCATTATTTATGACTAGTATAAAGTGTCTACGTCAACGTGGATGTATATCAGGTCATGACCCCACAAGCTCAGATTCCTTTTGACTGTCTGTTATCTTCCTCCTCTCGTGTAATTTCGTCATCTCTCTCACCTTCACCGCTCCTAAATCTCATCGCCTTCTGGATTCCATGGCTTCCGTCATTGAAGCTGGTTGGACGGTAAATTCACTCCTCTTAACATTCAACTTAAATTCTCCGCCTTTTGATTTTTGTTTACTTGTTTTTTGCCCTAATTTGATCTCATTGACGGATGATTCTTATTACTTTTTCCCGATGCATTACTTCATACGACATTCTATTGCTAGGAGATACGAATTTCTTAATTCTATGGATCATCGAATTTTAGGTTAACGAGTTAGAACTTGTGATATTGCTTAACTGATATAACGATGCATTGATTTAGATTGATACATTGTAGAGAAAGAAATTCTGGATTATCGTTTTCAATTTCAATTTCAATTTCATTTTAATGAACTGTTCTTCGCAAATGCATTGTGAATTTACTATTCCGATGACGTACGTACTCCGGATTCTGTAATTTATCCACGACGCGTTGCTATGTGTACTGATTCAAATTGGTGTGGCACGAACATAGAACACACAGGTCAATGAACGGATGCAATCATGCAAGGCAGAATTAAGATGAGAGGATTATGAGTGAGCTTGGGAAGGGATGATAGGGTTGCAGATGACCTGAAATGGATCTACATTATAGAGAAACGGGTTAAAGTAGTAGTAATTATATCACACTTACTAAAATTATCATCAAACTAAAGAGATATCGTCCCTCCATTTGCAAATTTTGGTGTACAAGTAGATTATGAATGGTTTGATCTACATTTTAGTAGGTAAGAGGCCTTTTTTTCATTAGTGTGATTTGCAGATTGATTTTGGATATTGAATGGTTTGGAATCTGATTTTCTTCACTGTACTATGATTTTGGTTATATAGTCAAATATGAAATGAAGAAAATGAAGTTAGAGAGAGAAAGAGTGAGAAAGGGTGGTTGGTGGTGGCGGGGCAGAGGAGGCGACGGTGGAGGGTGGTTGAAATAGAGGGCTGTTGGTGACTGAAGAAAGTAAGTAGAGAAAGATATGTGGGTTTGACAACGAAAGGTGGAAGGAAGAGGGGTTTGTGTGGGACCAATATCTTATTACTATCTCTTTTTAATAGTAAGAAATAAATAATAATAATAAAATACCATCAAGGTCAAAACAGTCAATTCAAATCGATTAGGGACCAAAGACGCAACAAAATGATGTTTGAGGGACCTTCCGAGTTAAAAAAAAAGGTTAGGGACCAAGCGCGCAGATGACCCCAAACCATAGGGATCATCCATGTAATTTTCTCTATGATAATCAGATAGTCTGGACATGAGAATTATAGGAGGAAAAGAGTAAAGATGTTTTGATACTGCTTCTACCAAATATCTAAACCTTAAGATTATTGTGTAGCAAGATGGAAGATAGTTATATTTATTGCCTTATCCTTTTTTTTTTTTTTTTTGCAGTACTTGATTACTCATTTCAGTGACTTTCAGCTGGCTTGTGTTGGTAGCTTTATTCTTCATGAAGTTGTCTTCTTCTTGTCGGGACTTCCTTTCATATACATAGAAAGGGCAGGATGGCTCAGAAAGTACAAAATTCAGGTTAATTTCAGTATGGATTACTCTAAGTTGTTACCTCTATTGCTAATCTCTGTTTGTTGTAATTTACAAGTGAAAGTTTCTGCTATTTATTTGTACATGTTACCTACATGATTCAATTCAATGTGACATGACATTTTTGTTTGAAGGCCAAGAATAACAGCAGTGAAGCTCAAGAGAAATGTATTGCTCGGCTACTGTTTTATCATTTTTGTGTGAACCTTCCTGTGATGCTTACTTCCTATCCTGTATTCAGATTCATGGGAATGAGAAGTAGCCTTCCACTGCCGTCTTGGTATTTACAGGTTCTTTATATTATATACCACTTTATCTGTAGATGTATGCACCCCAGATCAACTACAGTACTACACCCCCTATGTTTAAAAAATAATCCAACTTTTTTAATACAAACCTTTTGTCTCTCTTTCTCACCTTTCCTTTTTGAATTTTTCATCTACTGTGCAGGAAAGTTATGTCGACTCAGATTCTATTCTACTTCATTGTGGAAGATTTCATATTTTACTGGGGACATAGAATTTTACACACGAAATGGCTCTACAAACACATCCACAGTGTCCATCATGAGTACGTGGCGTGAGATTGTGTTTTTTACATTTTTGATGATGGAAATGAGTCCTTGTTCCATCTCTCAGTCCAATGCATGCCAGACACAGACAAAGTACATTATGTTTTGTTGTGTTTTTATTAATTAATTAATAGATTTGTGTAATTTGACAGGTATGCAACACCTTTTGGATTGACTTCTGAATATGCACACCCAGCTGAAATATTATTCCTTGGATTTGCTACAATTTTTGGTCCTGCCATCACAGGACCTCATTTGATAACTCTTTGGTTATGGATGGTAGTGAGAGTTCTTGAGACAGTTGAAGCACATTGTGGTTACCATTTCCCATGGAGCCCTTCAAACTTTCTCCCTTTATACGGAGGGTTAGCACTTACCACTCAACTTAAAATTCACCATTTACTTTCTCAAGTTATCTAATTTTTTTTTTTTCTTAGTTCTGATTTTCATGATTATCATCACCGACTGATTTACACCAAGTCAGGCAACTACTCGTCTACTTTTGTTTACATGGACTGGTAAAGATATTAAAATTATTTTAACTTTAAAAGTATTTATGTATGTTTAAATTATTTTGTAATCTTATGTCTCAAAATTTTTTGTCAGGATATTTGGTACAGACCATGGGTACAGAAAACTCAAGGCTTTGAAAACTGAAGAAGAGGTAGCTGAGTTTAAAGAGAATTAAATTCTCAATAAAGGTAATCCCTTTTATATTGTCTGTGATTTCTTCGTTACTGATGTAGAATCAGTTTAAACTTTTTCTATGATGAGTGTACTAGTTTCTTTAATTTCGAGTGTAATGTTCTTAATGTGGATATGAGGTTTTGTTTTTAATTGCTTAGACTATTAGACGTGACACATTGGTTGATTTGATTTGATTAGATTCTGGATGATTGGGTTTTGTAGTGGGTCAAATAAATAAAATTATAAAACACTAATGAACATAAGGTCATTAATATAATATTAAAAACTGTTTCAAATCTAAATTGATAATGTCCCTAATCAAGTCAGATAACTAAATCAAAATAAACATGAAGGTTAATTTTAGTTGAATTTTAAACAAAATATAAAATCCAAAAAATAAAAATAAAAATCACCAAGTCATTTCATATTTCATGCAAGACCTAAGCTTGATTGTTGTAGAATTCTCTTTCTCCACTTGTATTATGTCACAGCATTCTCTTCTGCCTCCCTCCTGTAAAAAAACATAAAAAAATTTAATCAACAAGAAAGTTAAAAAAACATATATATTATTTCTTACCGCATTCCTTTTTGTAATAAGATCTAAATATCAAACTCACCGTAACAAGTCTCTTCACTGGTGATATCACGAGAATCTTATCCACATAATCCGCTGAGTGATTTCCATTAGCCAAGCAATGCGGCAACCGCCGTGGCAACCTCCGAACATAGGTTGTCACCACCTCCCTCCGCCATCCTCCACCACCGGATTCTTCCACGGAATAAAAGTAAAAAACATGAGGGATTTCACAAGGGTCCTGGCTAAGACTTCTAGTATTCACCATGAAAGCAGGCCAACCTCCTTTCTCCCACTCCTCAAATGTTTGAAGGGGTAACTGCAAAAAACACGACGGGAGAGTTTTTTCGTAAATATGCACCGAGTATCCCCATGACAAAGAAAAGGTCCAGTTTTTCGGGTGGTGGTAGCATATGCTTTGTTGGAGTAGCCTTGACTGGTCGCTTTTTGCTGATGTCATCAAATGGTTTAGCGATTGTTGGCGATCTGTGGTGGGGAAGAGCGGCTCTACAGCATCAAGGTGGTGGAGGGACACCAATGGAGTTTGTGGGTGTGCCGAAAGAAGACCTGAAATGTCCCCACGTAGATCAATCTGCAAAAACAACAATCGTTTATTTGTTTTTTAATCCACTTGTGTCATTTCCTTGAATATTTTTTTTAACATCTTCAATACTGCGTTAAGATTTTATTAAAATTTATAAGGAAGTTTACCTGATGAAAACCCTTTTCTTGAGTAAGTGAAACCCCGAAATCAGCTATACAAGATCGCAAAATATGGTCACTAGTATGAAGATATTGATATTTGTTTAAACAAACATCTAAATTCTTAGCCAAAGCCTCGGCGAGAGGGTGACTCAAAGCAAATCCGGCCCCACCAAAACCCATATCAAACGAAAACCAAGTATTAGATAAGATACTTTCCGAATTCGTGCCTATATAATAGTAACCCTCGTGATCATATTTCTTTAACACGTTCAACAAATTCTCCAAAAAGAAAATGGTGTCGTCATCTGCCATCACATACCATCTTACATTTTTGTTCTCTGCCTTAAATGACTCCTGGATCACTCGCGCCATTCTGATAGTGTATGGCACGCTTTTGTGATCACTGGAGACACGTACAGGCGGAGAAGTGGGAGGCCAGGGGAGGTGTTCGATAGGGGCTTCATCTAGGAAGAGGAAGCCACGGGTTACATTTGGGCGCCACCATGATTCGATATAGTGTTTCTTCGTGTGCCAAGTTTTTACAGTACTCGTAATACCGAATACGACATGGGAGATGTTGGTAGGGGTAGTTTGGGTATTTTTGAAATAATTGAGATTGAAATTGGGTATCAAGATTTGGGTCGTTTGGGAACAAGGATTGATGGAGAAAATCAAGATCAAGATTATGGAGAGGAATAGTGAGATTATGACCATGGATTTGCATACTCTTCTTGTTCTTGATAACTTATGGATTTGTGTCAACATTTCAAATTATTTCAAAGTGGATTGGAACTTGAAGTAAATTGTGTGTATAAGGCTGTTGAGAATTTTTTATTAACACTTTAAGGTGTTGATTTTTCATGAAAAATGTGCAATGCTTTTTTCTTTTAACATGTTTTTATGACAACATTTTCCATGCCCATGGTTAGTTATTTATGTGTTCATGTCATGAAAAGCTAATAAAGACGATTATTTTAGAAGGATTTGAATCAAATACTAAACTGGTTCATGACAATCGACAGCAATAAAATTCTGGTTATTAATGCCTTTAATCGAAGTAGATAACTAAACATATATAAACATGAAGATGAATTTTGGTTGAATTTTAACAAAATATATAAAAATCAATAAATTCAACCAGTCAGTTCATATTTCATGCAAGGTCTAAGCTTGATCGTTGTAGAATTCCCTTTCTCCACTTGTATTATATCACAACATTCTCTTCTGCTTCCTTCCTGTAATTAAACAAACATAACATCAATTAATGAAAAAGAAAATGAAAAACTTTTTTTAGCCAATTATTACTTTTGTATTAAATCCAAAATACTAAACTCAGTAGTAACTCACTGTAACATGTCTCTTCGCTGGCGAGATCACGTGAATCATATCCAAATAATCCGCAGAGTGATTCCCATTCACCAAGCAAGGCGGCAACCGCCGAGGCAATCTCCGAACATAGGTTGTCACCACCTCCCTCCGCCATCCTCCACCGGATTCCTCCACGGAATGAAAGTAAAAAACATGAGGGATTTCACACGGGTCACTGCTAAGAACTCTAGTGTTCATCATGAAAGCAGGCTTAGCTCCTTTTTGCCACTCCCCAAACGTCTGAAATGGTACCTGTAAAAGACTTGACGGGAGGGGTTTCTCATAAATATGAACAGAGTAACCCCACGACAAAGAGAAGCTCCAATTTTTTTGGTGGTAGTAGCAAATGCTTTGTTGGAGTAGTCTCGACTGATCGGTTTTTGCTGATGTCATCAAATGGCTTAGGGATTGTTTGCGGTCCATGGCAGGGAAAAGCGGCTCTACGGCGTCAAAGTGGTGGAGGGACACCAGTGGAGTTTGTGGGTGTGTTGAAAGAAGGCCTGATATGTCCCCATGCATATCAATCTGCACAAAAACCAATTTAATAAAATTAGAGAAATGAGTTTTCCATTAACCCTTTAACTTTTTACAAATTTTCTCCAAGTATAAAATATTTTTTGGCAGCATTCAGTAAGAGGAGGAAATAAAAAATAATCAAGCTTTTAGGCTATCTTTGAAAAACTCACATTATACTTGAAACTAGTTGATAATAAATGTCCGTTGATAAAAGCTAGAAGAGAACATAAAAATGACATGTAGAAAAATATTTTTTTATAGTTAATAAATATAAAATTTTGAAGGATTCTAAAAAGTCTCCATAAACTCGTTGAAACATGAGTAGCTTTTTGAAAAACTAATTTATAAGATACATTTTGGCTTGTCAAATATTATAACTTAAAAAACCCTGAAAAATAAATTAGTTTATAAAATAGGTGTGACGTGCTAAATATCACCTTAGTTCGTGTCTTCTTTTTTCTTTGTAAATAGTAGTGATTTATGAAGAAATTTACCTGATGAAAACCTTTTTCTTGAGTAAGCGAAACCCCAAAATCAGACACACAAGATTGCAAAATATGATCGCTCCCATGAAGTTTTCCGTACTTATTTAAACAAACATCTAAGTTCTTAGACAAAGCCTCAGCTAGAGGGTAACTCAAAGCGAATCCCGCACCACCAAAACCCATATTGAACGAAAATAAACTATTAGATATGATACTTTCTGAATTCATACCAATATAATAGTAACCCTCATAATCATATTTCTTTAACATATTCACCAAGTTCTCCAAAAAGAAAATGGTATCGTCATCTGCCATCACATACCACCTGACACTACTGTTCTCTGCATTGAATGTCTCACAGATCAATCGTGCCATTCTTATAGTGTATGGGATGCCTTTGTGATTACTAGATACACGTACAGGCGGAGAAGTGGGAGGCCAGGGGAGGTGTTGGATAGGGGCTTCATCTAAGAAGAGGAAGCCACGGGTTACATTTGGGTGCCACCATGATTCGACATAGTGCTTCCTTGTTTGCCACATTTTTATTGTGCCCCCGATACCAAATACAATATCGGAGATGTTGGTAGGGGTAGTTTGGGAATTTTTATAATAATTAAGTTTGAAATTGGGTACCAAGATTTGGGTTGTCTGGTAACAAGGATTAATGGAGAAGATCAAGATGAAGATTATGGAGAGGGATAATGAAATTATGACAATGGATTTGCATACTCTTCTTGTTCTTGATTTCTTATGGATTTGTGTCGACATTTTAAATGAAAAATAATGAACAAGTGAAATGGATCTTGGTGTAATTTGTGTTTATAAGTTTCTTGAAAGGCTTTTATTAACACTTTAAGGTGTTGATTAATCATGTGAATGTGCAAATGCTTCTTGTGTGTTTGTTTGTTTTCTTAATGTTACCTTATATCAGATGTAAATGAATATGGTTACATTGTCTACCCACAATTCAAGTTGTTGTTGTTGTTGTTTTTTAATAATTAAAGTAAATCTCTTGTAATTAATTCCATTACGTTTTAAAATAATTCTTGAAAATAATATTATGGCAAAAAGGTACAAGATTAATCAAATCATGATACTTTAGCAGCAGATGAAATCATGAAAATGTGATATGCAAACATACAAGTCATGTTTAACGGAGGCATCATAGAATGGTTGGTGTGAACATTTGATACCAAGTCACGTTATCCACAAGGTTATGTAATTATTGTTCTGTTTAAAAATAAATATAAGATTTTTACGTGGAAATTGGGAAATTTTTCTTAAATTTTGGTTTTTATTTTATTTTTACTTTTTAAAAAAAAAGCTTAAGCACAATTGTTATATTTGTCCTTTTCTGTACATATTTTAAGTTTGTACTCAATTTGCATTTTGGCCGCTCATCTTTTAAATTACTCAAAAGATCAATAAACAAAATTTTAGGTTCTTTTTACACAATTAGGATGAATTTCAACCGGGTAAAATTAGACAACATCCTATATGGCGTCTACTGTGTCATCCAATATGACATAATTTGTTTACCTTAGCACCGGAACAAAAAGGGTTATTGGCAAATTAGGTACAATTAAAAAAATAAAATAAGTGACTTAAAAAACAAAGTATGAATACTGTTGATTGTCATTTACTCATTTTATATCATTAATCCTTTATTTAATTATGAACGTGTAATATAATAGATCCTTACACCTTGAGAGCTGAATGACTAATGTATTGGTATTTTATGTCTTAAAACTGAATAAATATATATTGGTACTCTGAAAAGAAAACATACGAGAGGAACAAAAACAAAACAAAAGGATACAAGTGAATAAGTTGATGCTTGAGCTAGTTAATTAAACCAGCATTCGACCATCAAAGATTCAACTACAATTCACATATACATTTAACATAAACAAATGGTCTCAGTCATCAACATAAATGGTCTCCTGCTGAAACACGCCCCCAAAGATCTTCCTTTTTTCAGCTTTCGGCTGCACCCTTGGCTCCTTTCTAGCCGCAGCTTTCTTAACCACAGCTTGTTTTGGAGCCAAAGCCCGAGCCTTGGCTTGTCCTCTAACTGTTGCAACCTGCACTTTTGGTAGCTGAATGTTGTTCTTCTTAACCGCTGATGCGAACCCTGAGCTCAGTTTGTCCCACGACATGGCTAACCCCGGTGCACCATTTTGGTCCTCCGAGGTTTCTTTTTCTTCTTTTTCGGGTTCCTGGGTCGCGGATTTGAATCGATCCATGAGTTCTGTGAATGATTTTCGGGCTGCTGTTGTTGCCTTCTCTTGAACATCTTCTGCTAAACTTGGTGTTGCAGTTGCAGCCTCCTCTTTTGCTTCCAATTTTTTCACCTCTTTTTCTTCAACTTCTTCAGCTTTTGCTTTTGCTTCTGCGTATGCTTTTCGTCTACCATCCTCCGGAATCGCACTAAAAGTAAAAGGACCAAATATGTAAATACACAACCTACTTTAAATTATATAATACTTGACTTATTTATATTCACAACATTACCTGAAAAGTTCACTCACTGGCTTTGCAGCTGCATTAGGACTTGTAGCCACTTCCACAACCTAACACCAAAAATAACTCGATCTTTTCACATAAAGACTTAATAACTAAGTTTGAAAAAAAAAAAAAAAAAAATTCACCTTATTTTCTGCTACTTCTGTGTTGGAAAAGACATCTGCTATCAACGATGCAATCCGTGACTTGGATACCTATGGTTTCCAGAAACAAAATCCAGTCAGATGCGAACAAATCAGACCTGAATGTAATGTGATTTCAACTCTCCTAATTGTTGTCTAACTAATCTTTCCAAACATCTAAGACTACTCAAATCAAAGAACCAATGGCATACATTACATTACATTACTTTGTAGTCGTTTTCTGTAGTGATCCCTTCGGCATTCACAACAACATTGTATGAACTCTCCAAACTGTAATCATCGGTTAGTTTGGTCTTGATCAGGGTGTACTTCACATCGGTCGCAATCAAACCATCTAGAAACTCTTTCAATGTCAACGGCTGTGATTTTGTGAAAAGATTGTTGAAAAAGGATGAGATCCCGTCTAATACGTTGTTTGTTGTGGTGGATTCAGGGGCAGTGTCGTAAATTATGGCGACATGGCTGACACCGGCTAATTGTGCAGCTTGAATGAATTCAAGAGCTTCTGATGTGGTGACCTCTGTTGTTGGACCGTTTTCGAATGGGCCGATTGTGACTACAGCTTTGCTGGCGTTCCCAATTGCCTTTGCTATGGCTTCAGGGTCTTGGAATGTGGATTCGACTGCATTCAGACGTTTGGATTCTTCTAAGGAGATGACCTGAGTTTGTAAATATGTTATACACTAAGCCAATAACTTCGTATCTCATGACCATCTTATAATCTGGTTTTGGTTTTCA